TGCTGCAAGCCCGCCGGACGCTCCTTCGTCGAATCCACCGGCCGCCGCTCACTCTAGCCCGCGGCCGTTCTCAAGCCCGCCGCCGTTCCTCACGCTAGCCCCCGGCCTCTGCTCACTGTAGGCCGCGGTGTGTGACGCTGTGTTTCGTTGTGAAGCGAAACTACTTTGTTTGGTCTTCCAAAAATGGACACGACTAGAAATCAGTGGTGGAAAATAATGTTGTTTTTTTTTACCTTAAACTGCATAAACATTTCATTACACGAAATACACAAAATAATGTTCTTTTTAGGAGCATCATATGACCCCTTTAAATTTAATTAATTTCTCTCATTTTGTTAGTAATTAAAAATTTGTGCGGTAATGACCAAACTTTATTTCAGCGAATATCAGTAACAAAACCATTCCAATAAGAGATTACATAAGGCACAGAAATAGACTCCATCTGAAACAAAACTCTTATTTTCTTATTGTTTTTTTATTTAGATGACGAAAGGCACTGTTTTCCTACAAATGTTTTACAAAGATCCAATGAGTGACAGGAGATTGAGAAAAAAAAGAAAAAAAGAAAGACCTCTAAAAAGCATGAGAACTCCATGTGGCACCTGCATCAGCAACAACTGCAAACTCTTTTGAACTAACAGGAATTCCATGCTTAACTAAAAACTCAGAGTAATTACAGATTGAACCATTTTGATTTGAAGTTGAGACAAAAAATAATACCATTTTTAAACCAATTTAAAAAAAAAGAGAGATTTGTGTTTATACAGTAGATACTTATTATTCCAGATTAGATACGAGTGAGGTGTAAAATTGTGTTTAAAAATGAGGGACCAAGCTAATAACATTTGCCTATGAAGAAGAGATCATTTCATAGGGATTTTCATGATGTTATAGTTACAGATTAACAAGAAACTTAAACCACCTAGTTTGGAAAAGACAATATTAGGGATGAGATTCCATATAGATGAGGGCTTACTGATATAGTTTTTTTTTATCCAATTTATTTTAAAGGTGTTGTTTAAAGTAGTGAAGTCAAGAAAGTTTAAACCCCCTTTCTCAATGGTGTTCATAATACAGATTTTCTAATAAAATGAGTTTTATTCTTCCAAACAAAGTTGAGAAGCATTGTATAATTTTTTTAAGAATGGCAGTGTCAACATTCAAAGAGAGAGCAGCATATGTTAACCTTGACAAACCTTCAGCTTTGGCTAGTAAGATTCTTCCCTTTAATGAGAGATCACGCTGGAGCCACATATTCAGTTTTTCAGTACTCTCAATTAATGGATTAAAATTTAAGGAGCATCTTTCCAATTCATTTTTTGTTATAATAACACCTAAATAAGATACCTGATCTTTGATTTGAATATTACAAATTTCTGACAAATCACATTCTTTGATGGACATCAGTTCACACTTTGAGAGGTTCAAGAACAGACCTGATGCTTTGGAGAATTGCTGGATATACTTTAGTGCTAAAGGAACTTGGTTAGCGTCTTGCAAAAAAAGTGTGGTATAATCAACCAGTTGACTGATGAGTATCTGTTTGTCAGCTATAGAGATACCATGAAGACCACGATTAGAAATATAAGAAGCAAATATCTGGGAAACTAGTAAAAATAAATAAGGGGATAATGGACACCCTTGCCTAATACCACGTGACAAGTAAAATCTAGGAGAAGTGCCATATATTAATTGAATTGTGCTGCAGCTGTAATATAGAGTTTTTACTGCCTTACAAAAATATTCACCAAAACCAATATTTCCATGAATTTTCATTCATTAATTGACACAATTAGACTAAGTCGTAGTTTGTGCACAGCTGGTGCTACCGGCAATAGATGCATAAAAAAATTCATAAAATAAAGTTTAAATAAACATTGGCTACAAAAAACAAAAAGTATTAAGGCTTCAGCTCTTAAAATGTTCTATATAGACAGTATTTCTAGTCTTTGATTATATAGAGCTCAGTGTTTCCCCTAGGTTTATGGCTTTTTGGGGGGGGAGACTCGAACCCGCAACCTTTGGGTTACGAGTCCGACTCTCTAACCATTAGGCCACAACTTCCCCCTCAGTCGTGTAATAATTTCATGGATCAGCAATAAAAAGCCGAGTATTACTTATGGATACCAGGGTCATTAAGCAGCAATATTTCACCCTGGAATTTATTTATATATATTTTTTTTAATGGCCCCGTTAAATCTTTTTTGTCTCTTATGTCAAATACTTAAATTGGTTTGATTCAATCAATCAATCAATCAATCAATCAGTCATCGTTTTTTTCTGTTTTATTTTTCTGGACTCCTTTTTAATGGTTAGATTAAATTGTATTAATCAAAAAGCATGGCTAATTAATTCAAATCATGAAACTTAAACAATTTACTATCAATCTATTAAAAGTTTAACACAACATACATGTTTAGGGCCCTATGAAATGTTTACTTTTTCCAACCCTATGTTTTATTGTTACCAAATTCTGTGTTTTAGCATGTCTAACTATTTGAAAGCATAAAAACAAGTTTCATTTATTCTTACAATAGCCTTATGATTTTTTGCTCAAAAAATTATTTGTTGTGTATTTACATTTTTTATGGCATAAAACATTCATTTAATCTATCTTTTAAGTAATTAAAATTAAAATTTTTATTTTTTGAAAAATAAAAGTTAATTTAATATTACAAATAAAATATTGAAGACATATTGTATGATTATTCCTTAAAAATAAGGTTTTAATAATTTTAGTAGTAGTAGTAGCAGTCTATTACGTACTGAACAATAGTAATATATTTCTGCAGCAATTCCTTTAAATTAAACCAAACTTTTATTTTGACGGGTTGCTGTGAATACCTTTACATTTCTGTGTGTATATGATATGAGGATAGTTTTACTCAAATGAAACGGTCAAATGCTC